ACAGCTGAATACGTGCCTCAGCAAGGATGAACTCTCTGTGGAGCTATTATCTGGAGACCCTGTGCCATTAACTCACCGCAGGGCTCAGCCCCGTATCGCGAGTTTAGATGGTGGTTAACCAAACATTAACCACTCTACAGGCTTTTTCTGAAAACACAACCTTAATGAATGGGTACGCAGAGTCTCTGAGGACAGACACTGTCAAGTTCACCATCTGTGTGTACCCACAACCACAGATTATTCTGATAGGCCTAAAGGAATAAGACAAATAAAGGAAAGCTCAAGCATTCCTCGAAGGAAAGGAGATCATCTGCTGCCTTTCATGGCAGAGTTTTAGAACAAGATCATCTCACGTTGAGTAATAACAGCTGTAGCCGTTTTCGTCAAACCTTTAAAATAACATTATGCACAACCTCATATCATATTGCAAGATGCTATATTAAGAAGCGTATTTTGTTAAAGATATTATATTTTGGTAATGGTAACAGACAAAAAGCACTTGAAGTTTATGTTGTGAATGAGTCCCAGCCACAACCTTGCCAAATTTCAGCTCAATATCTATAAAACAGGCTAAATTATAGACATTGTTGTTTGTTAAGGTCAGTTGACGTCTTGAATTATCACTCGAAAACATTACCATCATCCATCTAATATATAATTTTATAAATTGAAATTGTTGAAATTTTATGATTTGGTTGATTATAATGTTTTGTTAGTTATATATAAGGCTCACCAAAACACATTACCTTAATACATCCAGATAAACTTTATTAAGAGAGAGCTGTTATAACCTAAAGGGAATAGAAATGTTCATGAAACATAAATTTAGAACCAGTCTGAAAGAACGGTGTACCTCAATCCAAGGAGTCAGATTGTGGAATAATCTGGTAGAGGATGCTAAATCAATGCATATGTTCAAGACCATTATAAAAGTGGGGCTTTTGAGGAAATATGAAACAGTATAAAATGTATTTGTGTAAATTTGTGTTCTAGAAGGATTTGACTTTTTTCTTTTTGTGTTTTGTTTTATGTTAATTGAAGATTAGTGTTGTTTGAGTTTATATTTGAGGAAAAAAAGGGGGCAGATATAAGAAGTTTTTCTTCTCTCTGCTTCCTTTAATTTCATTGTATTTGTGTTTTTTTTCTTTT